TGATGATGATGGTGGTGGTGGTGGTGGTGATGATGATGCTGCTGCTGATGATGATGATGATTCGGAGGAGGAGGAGGAGGAGGAGGAGGAGGAGGGCGAGGAAGCTTAAGAGTAGGAGGGCAACCTCCTTCCCGCACCTTCCCTCACCCCCCCGCTCCTTCCCCCTCCCCCCTCCCCTCCCCCCGCCCTCCAGCTCCTCCTCAGAGTGTTGGTATCTATTGCAGTGCTCTTTGGCTTCCTGCGGGGACCCTCGTCGCCGCCGCCGGCTTCGGCTCGAGGTTCCGGCGGGTCGGGGTGGACACAGCGCAAGAGAGAGACATGGGCGTCCCCCTTGAAGGTCCAGCACCACGTGGATTTGCCTTGCTGTCGAGGAGGAGAAGGAGGAGAAGGAGGAGAAAGAGGAGGAGGAGGAGGAGGAGGAGGTGTAGGGGGAGGAGGAGGAGGAGGAGGAGGAGCACGAGGGCGAGGTAAGAAGGAGAAGCAGAGACGAGGGCGAGCAATGAGGAGGGACGAGGACGAGGGCAAAGGAGGAGCACCAGGACGGGGGCGAAGGCAAGGAGCACGAGGAGGCGGAGATGCCGCGGAGGATGCGCAAGGAGGTAGGGGAGGACGGCGGGGGAGCAGGAGGAGTAGGCGGGACGATGCAACAGGATGGATGATGATGCTGCTGATGATGATGCTGGTGATGATGGTTATGACGATGATGTGAATGATGATGACGATGTTGATGATGATGGTGGTGGTGGTGATGATGTTTATACGGATGACTATGACGATGCTGATGAGGATGATGAAGAAGTCTATCACTGTAATGCCAATGATGATGACAGTGATGATGATGATGATGATGATGATGATGATGCTGATGATGATGATGATGATGATGATGATGATGATAATGATGATGATGATGATGATGATGATGATGATGATACGCATGATGACGAAACTCATGATGATGAGACTGATGACGATGACGATTCCGGGTGGTGATGACGGTGGTGATGAAAATATTGATGACGGCGATGATAATGATGATTCTAACGAAGATGTTGCTGATGATGATGATGATGATGATGATGATGATGATGATGATGACGATGGTGATGATGGCGATGGTTTATGATGATGGTGAATTTGATGGTTGCGTTGATGGTGATGGCGATGGAAATTGTGATGGTGACGATGAGGATGAGGATGAGGATGATGAGGAGAAGGAGGACGGTGATGATGATGCTGATGTTGTTGATCAAGATGATGATTATGATGATAATGTTGATGGCGGTGATGGTAATGATGTTGATAACGATGATGAGGATGCTGAGGGGGATGATAATGATGATGAGGAGGAGGAGGATGCTGATGATGCTGATGATGGTGGGGGTGATGATCATGAAGACGTTGACGGCAACGACGATTCAGACAGCGATATTAGTGATGATGATGATGATGATGGTGGTGGTTATTGGTTGTCAAACCGTGTGGTGATGCTCATGGTTACCATTGTACTGGAGATACGGCTGTCGTTGATCTTGATGGTATTGCGCCTGCTCATGCTGGTGGTAGTTGTGATGCTGATGATGACGAGGATGATGATGATGGTAATGATGATGCTGGTGATGGTTGTGATATGGTGCTGATGATGAGGATGACGATGAGGATGATGATGATTCTGATGATGATAGTGATGATGGTGATGATGGTGATGGTTGTGATGCTGGTCATGGCGATGGTAATGGTGATGGTGGTAATGAGGAGGAGGAGGATGGTGATGATGATGCTGATGATCACGATGCTGATCAAGATGGTCCTGATGACTATGCTGATGATCATGATGATGATGGTGATGATGATGATGATGATGATGGTGGTGGTGGTGGTGATGACGATGGTGATGATGATAATGCTTGTGGTGGCGGTGTTAGTGGTGGTGAGGTGTTGCTGCAGGTTCTGCTGCTGCTCATGATTTTGATGAAGAAGGGATCTGTTTGCTGATGCTGTTGATGAGGATGGTGTTGGTGATGATGATGATGGTGATGATGCTGATGATGGTGATGACGATGGTGATGATGATGGTGGTGATGATTATGAGGATGATGGTGGTGGCGGTGTTAGTGGTGGTGAGATGCTGCTGTATGATCTGCTGCTGCTCATGATGATGATGAAGATGGGATAGTTATGATGATGCTGATGATGCTGATGCTGTTGGTGATGAAGACGACGATGATGATGATGATGATGATGAAGATGATGATGACGATGATGATGATGATGAGGAGGAGGATGATGACGAGGATGATGACGAGGATGATGACGAGGATGATGACGAGGATGATGACGATGATTTCTGGGGCCGCAGGAGTACTACCTCGGGAGCCACCTGCCGCCCAGCTGCATAACCGCCATGGTCTTCGACGGCGGCTCCATCGCCGTTGGCGACAGGCTCCCTCGGCCCCCCTCCTGCTCGGCCCTGCCCTTCTCCTCCTCCCCGCACATATTCAGCTTCTCCTCCTCCTCCCCCTCCTCCTCCTCCTCCTCATCCTCCCTCCTCCTCCTCCTCCTCCTCCTCCCCCCTCCCCTCCCCCTCCCCCCCCCCTCCTCCTCCTTCTCCACACATCAACAGCTCCTCCTCTCCTCCTCCTCCTCCTCCTCCTCCTCCTCCTCCACCTCCACCTCCTCCTCTCCGCCCAGGCCGACGTCGTCTCGTTTTGTTTGGCAGGGTGACATTCCCCATCGCGTCGCGATTGTTCTAGTCCTCCTGCCTCTCTCCTCCTCCTCCTCCCCCTCCTCCTCCTCCTCCTCGTCCTCCTCCTCCTCGTCCTACTCCTCCACACATCAGCAGCTCCTTCCCTCCTCTCATCCTCCACCTCCTCCTCTCCGCCCTTCCCCTCTCCTTCTCCTCCTGTGTCGAGGAGGTTCCCTCACCAGCTTGTCTGTAGGGCGTCTATATCATTTTTGACAAGAAGCTGATAGGTGCGCTGCCAGAGCCAGAATCGGACCAGGGCGACCTTGTCTCCCGTTGCCCCCCGTTGTTTCCGGGAGGCCTCCCGTTGCCCCCCGTGGTTTCTCAATGTCTCCAGTGGCCTCCCATTGCCGTCCCTATCCCTATCCATTTCTGCACCCCTCTAGCCCTATCCCCATCTCTATCCCTGCTATCCCTATTGTATGGACATATCCTTATCCCCATCCCCATCCCGTCCTGTTTCTGCCCCTACCTGTTTTGTATATCCGTATCCTTATTTTTTAGCCGCACATCGCTATCATTACTCCTATCCCTAGTCCTACCCTTATCCCGATCCCCCTCGTGGCACTCCATCGTGACTCCCCATCGTCGGGTGTTGCTAAAGGTGCCCCTGGCCCAAGGTGCCCCCAGAATTCTCGGGGGGGCTCAGGCGGCCCCCAGAGCACCCCTCGCGAGGCCCAGAGGGCCCCAGGGGCTCCAACATGGAGCGAAAAGCTGGGGGCACCTTGGGCCAGGGACACTTCTAGCAACACCCCGACATCGTGACCCCGCATCGCGGCCTGTGTGGAGCTGTGCAGGGCCTTCCGCCGCGAGGGCGTCACTTTCGGAACAAAGACGAGTGCCCCCCGCGGAGGGGTCGGGCGCCCTCCTGCTCAGCTCCGTCTTTCTTCTCTCGGGGGCGGAAAAGAGGGGGGTGATGACTAGGCGGGGGTGGATGTCATGGCGGGGGCCATGATATATTTCCCCAGATCTCAGGACGCCTCTTCTTGATTCATTACGTCCCTGGCCCCCCCGTTGGGCCGCGCACATGCCGCCGGTCATGATTTGCACCCCCCCCTCTTGGGCACCCCCCTCTTGGCCGCTCCCGATTCTCCTCGCCTCCCGCCCCAAGGCGCCCTCGCGTCGACGGCAGATCGCGGCGGTACTTGTCTCGGCGGTCTGCGGCCTCGGAGGGAGAGCCGTCGAGACGCGGTTCCCGAAGGAGAGCCAGTCCTGGGGAAGGGATCCAGACCTCCAGTCGATACAGTCGGGGCGCTGAAGAAGGAACCCTTTTCGTTGGGGAGGGGCTCGGTGTTCCTTGATTGTTTAACAGTTTGCTTCAGGTCTTCCTGAGGTTTTCCATGGGACATCGATGTTTGACTTATGAGCAAAAGGGGCCTCGTTCCTTATTTAGGGTTCCTTAGGTCAACGCCCCGACTGTATGATTTTCAGGACATGTGTTAGCCCAATGTGTGTTTGCGCGTTCAGCTCCACCGGCGGAGTATTGCGTCGCCTGCATCGTGTTGAATGGCTCCAGAGGGCAAACACACGTTGGCGCCAACAGAAGTTTTGAAGATCATCGATCATAGGTCTCGGACAAGCATGAAGTCGAGCCTGTCCCTGTACAGGAGGAGAATTCAAAAATAGTCAAGGAATTGTCAGGAGACGATTTGTTGAGTACACTTTTAATATGTTTGAGTATTTGTTGAACAATGTTCTTTTGTGCAAGATCCGCCTGTAGGGGGACGCCCGACCTAACGATAACACACGTTTTGAGGATCATCGATCCAGGGTCTGGCACAAGCGCAAGACGTTTTTTGTTTGTCGCCCCTCTTTTCGACCTCTGGATGCTTTCGCCTGGCTCCGGGGCCGTCTGATTTTTTCCTGGACGAGACACCAGTCCTGGGGAAAGTATTAGGTCGGGCCTGTCCCTTTACAGGAGGAATATTCATAAATAGTCAGAAAATAGTATCGGGGCGATGTTGTACCATTTTTGAATATTTGGGAATCGTGTTTGGTTATTTTGTTTTATTGCTCGTTCAAAATCCGCCTGTAGGAGGACGCGCCCGACCTAGTAAAAGGAGTTCCGGGACCCCCGTATTGAAAATAACAAGATGCCGAATCTCTTCACCACCTCTGCTTGCTGGTGCTCCTCGTAGTCGTTCTCCTCGTCCCCCATCTCTGCGCCTCCCTTCTGCCTCTTCCTTCCCTTGCCACCTCTTTCTCCTCATCGCCCGCCTCCCCAAACATTCCCCTCTTCCACCTCAGCATTCTCCTCATGATCACCGTCGTACCATCGAATACGCCTCTGGCGAGTTACCGCCGCGCTCTGTGTCCGAAAAGCAGGCTCTTTGGGAAGTCTCTTGAACGTCATCTTGGCCCGTTTCGGGGTATCGTAGGGTGGCCGTCGTTTTTTTTTTTGACCGTTTGGCGATGTCCCCCTGTTGTTGGGCCTTCTTTCAGGTGCTTTCTCTTGGGTCAGTCTTGGAGGTCTCTTGGGGCTCTCTTTGGCTACTCTGGGACGTCATTTGGCTATTTGGGGGCCCTCCTGGGCTGTGCTAGGGGCCTCTTAGCCGTCTTAGGTTGCACCCCAAGCAGGGCTCGTACAAGCCTTGTCAAACACATGCTGACACGCAAGTGTATCTCATGGGGCTCCATCTTCTCGGGCTCTCGTCAGAGCGCGCGCTCTTCAGCACTGCGAGGGGGGCGTCGGCTTTCGGACGCCCCCTGCGCGCAGGCCACAGACTTGGCGCTGACATTCGCAACTGCCGACCTCAGAGGGAGGAGTAGGAGTAGGAGGGGGAGGAAGAGGAGGAGGAGGAGGAGGAGGAGGAGGAGAAGGAGGAAGAGGAGGAGGAGGAGCAAGAGGAGGAGGAGGAGGACCAGTGTAAACCCAAGAGTCATCAACGATGTTGAGATACACCCTCCCTCCAAGCTTCCTCTTCACAGGCCCCTACACGGGGTCATTTTCACTGGGGAAGTGCCTCGTTGGAAGACAACCGTTCAAGAGCCTGAAGCGTGCCACAACATCATTCTCGGGAATCCAACGCCACGGATCAACTTGACTGTTGCGTCTTGAGGATCCGGAGTTGTGCCAGAGCGCTATTTCTGGGACTTCAACACCGCGAATCAGCATAACTGTTGCACCCGCGTAATCCGGAATCTCTCCAAACACACCATGTCTGGTACGATGACCCCGGGAATCCGTGAAAGTCGTGCAAATGTTTAAATGGAATGCGCGCGGCGCTAAGGCGAGAGCCACATTAAAAAACACCCGCCCTCAACCCGTGAAATTCTTGCAACTGTTTCAGAATAATGCGCGCGGCGCTAATGCGAGAGCCACATTTCAAGAACCACTCGCCCTCAATCCGTGAAACTCTTGCAAATGTTTAGAACGAATGTGCGCGGTGCTAGGGCGAGAGCCACATTTTGGAAAAACACCCGCCCTCCATGTGTAAAATTGTTGAGCGTCATCAAACTCAACCGTTCAAACTTCAGTTTCATCAATGGTGAGGAAATCTCAGGCGAAAAGCCCGGCCCGCCCTTTCGACCGGCTTCGGGGTGCGACAGGGAGAAGTTGTTTAAAAGGAACAGGAATTGAGGAAGAGAGGGAGGAGGAGGAGGAAGAGGAGGAGGAGGGCGAGGGGGAGGGAGAGGACTAGGAGGAGGAGGAGGCGGAGGAGGAAGGGCCAGAGGAGGAGGATGCGGAGAAGGAAGGGCCAAAGGAGGGGGTGGAGCAGGAGCAGGAGGAGGAGGAGGAGGAAGGGCTGGAGGAGGAGGAGGAGGAGGAAAGGCTGGAGCAGGAGGGTTCTTGACAGAGGGCTGCAGGGTCGTCTTGGGCCGTTCTCGGGGCTTCCCGAGGGGGTCTGCTGGGCACCCGCGGCAGTCAGCGGCGGCTCCCCGCCTGTGGGGGAGGGCGGAGGGGGAGCAGACATCGGCGGCGGCAGAGGCGGCCAGAGCGGGGGCGCCGAGGCGGCGGGGGAAGGGGAGGGGTCAGGAGGGAGGTCTTCAATCATCCGCAGGAGGAGGAGGAGGAGGAGGAGGAGGAGGAGGAGGAGGAGGAGGAGGGGGAGGGGGAGGAGGAGGAGGGGGAGGAGGAGGAGGAGGAGGAGGAGGAGGAGGAGGAGGAGGAGGAGGGAGCGCTGGAGGCGCTGCGAGAGCGCGGCGCGGCGCGGAGGCGGGGCCGCGTGCACGTGTGGCGCGCCCAGCTGACGGGCAGCTGGGGCTTCGAGCACTCGCCGGACAGACGTGCCTCTCCCGCCTCTCGGCCACACGTAGCCATCGGTCGTGTGGCCGCTTTGGATGCCGAAATCCCAATCCACTTGAGGCGCCGACCTACCTTCATCTTCAAGGGGTGGGCGGAAGCCCAATCTACGCTCAACGCCTTCCTTTGTCATGCTTCTACCCACTTCTTCCGACCGATAGGTAAGAGTGACATTTCGGTGGAGTGCCCTTCAGTGCGGGCGCACTGGAGTCCCCTGATGACTAGTCGCGACGCGCCTTCGGGGCTGAAAGGACGGGGGTTAATGTAAACGGCGGTCAGTCAGAGCGCCAGAGCTTGCAGGATCGGATCATACAGAGCCACAATCCCGTAAGATTCTGCAGGGTCCTTTTGAAGCCCGACTGACCCGGGTTTGGATTGACCCAGGTCAGCATATTCCCGACGCCTTCTCCTCGGTGACCTCGGCGACCCGAGGCGCGCCTGGTCATTCCTCCAAGAGCAAGCGACGCGCGCCGCCCCCCCTCCTGCTGTCGAGGAGGGAAACATGGCATGAGCATGAATTTTCGAAGGTCCGCTCACAGTTCTTGGATCGGCGCTGGGCCTGCCCGGCAGCGCCTCCAGCGCCGCCCCTGGCGCGCTCCGCGCGCCAGAGGGAAGGGTCCAGCGCTGATCCAAGAGATCCGCTCGGAGCTCCGAGAGCAAATCTGTATTTAGTTCTTCTGCGTCGAATGAGGTCAGGAACTTTGGTTTGGCGTGCCGCGCCGCTGGTTCTTGGCCCACTACGCTTCGGGACGACACGCTGTCTATGTCCCAGTCCCCGAGCGGTAGTGTCCCGATCTTCTCCCGCCCCGCAGAGCGGAACGACACCTTAGCGTGTCGTTGGGGCCGCCGCCGCGACACGCTAAGCGAAAGATCCTGACGGTATATCATCGGTCGGAGTCCAGCTTCACCGAGCTCCGAGTCTTGTCAAATCTTGCTTAGTCCCGTCTATTTTGGCCCAGTCGTAGGCTCAACTCGGATTCATCCTAGCTCAGTATTGCCCTACGCTGGCTCCATAGACCTCAAGCGCTCCCACGAAAGCATCCCATGATGTGCCTCCTAACTTCCCGACTTGTTCCCAGAGACGATCTCGTTCGACCTCAGCTCCATCTCGTCCTTTCGTCGTCGTTGCCCTGCTCCTCCTCCGATTCTCCCTGATCCTCCGATCGGGTCTTTTTGTGGCAGTGCAGTGTCGGATATCGCGCAGGAGACTGCGGGAGACCGCCGGGGACCGTCGAAGACCACCAACACCCTGTTAGACCCTTGAAATCCGAGGGGTATCAGGGGGTCACCCCAGGAAGAGACGGAGGAGGAGGAGGAGGAGTAGGAGGAGGAGGAGGAGGAGGAGGAGGAGGAGGGGGAGGGGGAGGAGGAGGAGGGGGAGGAGGAGGAGGAGGAGGAGGAGGAGGAGGAGGCGGGGCAGGGCAGGGCAGCTGCCGCCCGTGCCGAGTGGTGCCTCCCGCCGCTCTCGCCGGGCCCCAGCGGCCGGTGCCGGCGGGCAGTCCACGCAGCGGCGCATTCTACCGCGCGCCGACGGGCGGGCCCTGACCGACGTGGAAATCCTGCGTCTTGCGGCCACGTACCCTCGGGGCCAGCCGCTGTACCGCCACTCTGGCCAGGCTTTCTTCCTGTACGGCTCGCACGGGCAGAAGATCGGCGTGGCCATCCGTCCCGCCGAGGGCGGGGGGTGCGTGTCCTGCTGGCTCCGGCAAGGCAAGATCACAGCTGCCGCCCGTGCCGAGTGGTGCCTCCCGCCGCTCTCGCCGGGCCCCAGCGGCTGGTGGCGGCGGGCAGTCCACGCAGCGGCGCATTCTACCACGCGCCGACGGGCGGGCTCTGACCGACGTGGAAATCCTGCGTCTTGCGGCCACGTACCCTCGGGGCCAGCCGCTGTACCGCCACTCTGGCCAGGCCTTCTTCCTGTACGGCTCGCACGGGCAGAAGATCGGCGTGGCCATCCGCCCCGCCGAGGGCGGGGGGTGCGTGTCCTGCTGGCTCCGGCAAGGCAAGATCACACTCTCGGGGTCCCTGGGGATGCAGGCGGCACTCCTGGGCGCGGTCCAGAACTGGACCGCGCCGTGGGCTGGTGGCCACGCGCAGGGCGCGGCCCCTCCGGGTCCAGCTGCTCTCGCTGTGCAGCCGCCCCCAGCCCTCGCGCCCGCCGGGGGCCCCGCCGCCGGCGCTGGCCCGGGCGGTGCCGCCCCGCCGGCGGGCCCCGCTGCCGGCGCTGGCTCGGGCGGTGCCGCCGCGCCGGGGGGCCTTGCTAGCCCATGCAGGAGGCCCCCCCGCGCCCGGGGGCCCCGGCAGCCCGGGCGGCCCCGCCGCGCCTGGGGGCCCCGCCAGCGGCCGCGCGCGCGCGGCGCGTGCGCCGCCGCTCCAGGAGCCGCGCGCGCCGGCCCTCCTAGTTACTAGGTGGGCCAACTTTATCATGGATCGCACTTTTTCATGGTTCGCTGTTGTGGGTTGAAACGCGCGCCTTGCTTCATGGTGTGCGCGCGCGTGTGCCCCTGTGTGCGCGTTCTGTGTGTGTGTGTGTGTGTGTGTGTGTGTGTGTGTGTGTGTGTGTGTGTGTGTGTGTGTGTGTGTGTGTGTGTGTGTGTGTGTGTGTGTGAGTGTGTGAGTGTGTGCGTGTGTGTGCGTGTGCGTGTGCGTGTGCGTGTGCGTGAGCGTGTGCGTGTGTCGTGTGGTTGGTGTGCTTGCGGGTGCGTGTGCGCACGGTTGTCCATGCGGGGTGTGTGACAGGCGAATTGGGTTACGCCCAGGCAGGTATTGTGGGAGGTGGGGGGCGGCGGCGACGCTGTTCCAGGCACCTTCCGGGACATCGAGGAGGCGACACG